GTTGAAAACGAAAAGGGAGTGTATTAAAATGAGGGGGCCGGGCTGAAATTATACCAGTTGCTTTATAGCCCAATTAAATACATGTAAGCATAACACTGGATAGAAACAGGGCCAAAAAAGATAAGCTGAAAGTATGAAAGGAAATAGTATTTTCAGTAACAGAGGATAAATTATGTTTCCTTGTTATTATTTCCTCCAGTAAAATAAAAATAAACACTTGATCGGAGTCAAATTTGCATGCACTGGACGTCGACGTCTCCCTTGATAAACATTGCACTTAAGCGAGTTCACAGTAACGCCTGGACGTGACAACTACGGTTGACCTCATCTCCCTGTCTGTCGCGACCGAGTTTGAGGAATGTGTGAGGGGAAGGGTTCCCGCGGGACTCGTCAAATTGTTCCAGGACCAATCCTTCTTGTCGTCTGAGCCCCTCCTATCTCTCTACCCAGGTCATTTCAGGTCACGGCCAGTCTCTCTCTCTCTCTCTCTCTCTCTCTCTCTCTCACTCTCTCACTCTTTCACTCTTTTACTCTCGGTCTCTTCCTGGTTGCGGTTTTAGAGCGAGCACCGGCTTCGTGACCCGATAAGGTCATGGCTCGTGAGGTTGGAACAAGAACAATTAGTAACCATGGCGCCAGGATGCTTGCAGATGCCGAGTGCCTTCGTCATCTAGTCTGCTTTGGCAACCTCGGGGTTGTGGGATCATGGTGGGATTAAACATCAAGTGGCGTAGCGTTGGCCCGGTCAATCGGGGGGGGGGGGGGGGGATCCCATGTCATGGGGGATGGCACTGGTCTCAATAGCAGGCGAATGGTATACATTAAAATATGGCCATCGAGTGAGAGTCGGGGGAGGTTGCTGGGCTGAGACAGCATCATGTTTTGCCCACTTCCCTCTCTTTCCTGTCTTATTCTACTATTCCCATTTTTCATTCGATTTTTCGAGGGGTGGGTAAAAACAAAACAAAAAAAACCCTCCAACAAACTGACTGTTATGTAGCTTAGTGGTGCTAGAGGGTCTCAGGCATGCTATTTAGATACTTCAGCCGTTTTCTAAGCAGTTGAATGGAATACGCCATCAGTATGTTGCCATTGATAATCGATGTTTGTACTCTATACGTTGTTTCTTGAACTGAAATTATTGTCAGTTATGGTGTTACTACAAGGTTTCATTCTATAGACTAATTCAATTTCTCTCCTGAGACATAATCAAGCGTCCAAGTGCAACCGTTACTGTCTCTCGTAAAAGATCAGGATTAGGTTGACCACCCATAGATTGCGACCAATTAGCAGACGACGATATAGGTCATCGATAGCTCACCTGTCAATCGTCTGTCAAAAAGTTAGAGTAGGTCCTCAGATGTTTTAGTCCTCTTTTTTTCTCCTTCAAATCGAAATTACCACATTTTGCTGACAAGCACAGCCAAGGAGATCGTGTCGAACTCGAACTTTACATGTCACGAGTTTTCCCATTGATATAAATTGATTCCACTTTGTCTAGTGATTTCAGTTATTGTAAATGTAAAATATTTCACATTATTGCCCTGCACCAGCCCCTCCCTCTCATGCTCTCACTCACACCCCTCCCTCACTCTCAACAACTTGTTTTAGTTGATCTATGGCTTGTCTGAATTCAGAATACCTGACCCTATTACCAGAAATACCCAGAAAATCACCTATTACCGTATATTAGAAGACTTTAACGATCGCAAAAGAATCTGTCCCAGCCTTTCTATCCGGAGTTTCTATGGTCGTGCCATGTTTCCGAGATGACTAATGAGATGAAATTGACCTAACCACATTGTAAGCCTTGACCCCTTGCCTATACTCTCATAATATGAGACGCACAGGTGGCAGACACTTGGCAGTTCATTTCCAATTTTCTCTTCAGCTCTACCATGGCTGAAAATCTTTGGGGACACATTTGTTTATCGGTTGAACTTCGGCCCGTTAATCCCCAAGTCTTGGCCTTGCCAGTTCATTTCGCACTTGTCGAGAGGAGAGTACATGTGGTGATACTCTTCAAGATCAGACTCTGGTGTTTTATTTGCTCAGTTGCAGGAGAATGTGACATTGATGGAAAATAGGTCTTTATTTAATATCATACTTATGACACTTGATAGAGGCGTATCCAGATGATGTTGGGGGAGGGGGGTAGGGTAAATTCTCCCCCATTCCGTTGCCTTTTAATATACAGTGGTGGTGGTGGTGGGGGGGGGGGGTGCGTCATGAATCCGTAGCCTGCTTGATACAGACCTTTACAAATTCAAAGTGAAAGCCACTTAATTTACGTTGAAATCAAGTCCTGATATCATACGATTATCATTAAATAAAACGAACAAACAAACAAACAAAGCAACTGAAAAAATAGAAGAATGCTTTCATGATACACAGCTTCAACTTCCGTGTTTGCTGGATATGCCAGTACAAATAATGATTCAGGTAATATAACTTGTGTGGCTCATGACAATTATTTGTGTATCTACATTCCACCGTCTCACAAGATAATCCATAGTAAGCCTACGTCAGTAGACATCGTAAAAATATTAATCCCGTTTGGTGTGTTCCTGACTTTTCTCCAGATTTTCTCAATCGCTACAAGTAATCCGGTCATTAGATGTTGTGAATACCAAAACCGGAGGCCTTTCATTTTCCTAATACCTGTCTTAAGATTACAGGCCAAGGAATATTTTTATCATTAGAACGATATTATTTACATAGCCTATCGTTCAAAGTCATGTCCATCTTCATACCACTTTCATCCGTCCTCGTGATTATTAAAGGAAACAATAGTATTGTAGGCAACTATAGCAGTCATTTATATCACTGTTACCCCGCCCCTCCTACCTTCATTCCCGTTATATTAAAAAAAAAAATCGAGAAATGGTATGACATTGATCATCATCACCATCATCATCATCATCATCACCACCACCACCACCACCACTACCACCACCACCACCACAACTACTTCAACAGTAACACCACCACCTTCATCCAAAGTATCACCATCATCACCATCATCATCATCTTCATCATCATAATCATCACAATCATATTCACCATAAATCATCAGCAGCAGCATCACCATCATCGAATATCGCTGCCATAATTGCATAACCAAAGCATTACGATCTTTATCAGCAACATATTCAACGTCGTCGTCATCATCATCATCTTATCAACACTTTCATTATTGACATCGCCGTTAACATCTTCAATATTATTGTCAATATAATTATCGTTATCATTCATCATCCTCTCCATCATCATCATTACTTCTATTTCTATCGTTATTGTCGATGTCGTCTTTGTCCTCGCCATCAACATCATCACTTTGATTATCTCTCATTTCTTATTAAGGGACTACACTGCGCAATCATTATCCATCTAACCAATGCTCATCGAACCGCACGGGGTCAGGCATTATCTGTCATCAGCGAGTCATATCATCAAATCGTGCCATTATTCAATATTGCCCTTTTTCATCCGTCACCGTTTGATTACACGAGAAGGAGAGAGAGACACGGGAGCGCAGATGTATTTCGCTAATTTAAACCGCCGAACAGGTTCCCTGAATATTGTAAATAATGCGATGCGTGAGCGAGTGATGAGCTAAGATTGGGCTAGTGTAGGGAGGAGGGAGAAGGATGAATTTCCAGTTGAATTGGTCTTTGCTGTGGCGTAATTTTGTAGCGACGAGTGTTCAGGTCGCCTAATTATTCAAGGTATATAGATGGGCTGTTTTTGTGCTGCCTGCTGCTTGCTCGCTGCTGCTGGCTGCTGGAGCTTTCGCCCTTTCTTCTGTTCGCCCGGCTGGCGCATTGATCGCGGCCCATCGCCCGGGGGACGGGGCTCGCACGCGATGCAAGAAAACATCTGTCCACATGGCCGCGTGGTTGCCATGACTACTAATGGTGTGCCCGCGCTTTTTTCTCTTTCGCCATCTCTCTCCCTATCCATCTCGTCTCCGCATCGCTTTCTCTTGCTCTACATTCTCTCTCACACTCCCGATCCTCCATCTATCCCTCTCTCTCTCCCTCTCCCTCTCCATCTCCCTTTTCATCTCGTTGAAAAGCTTTCTATTACACCATTCCCCCTTTCTCTCAACCTACTCTCTCTCACATTCTCTCTCTCTCTCTCTCTCTCTCCTCCTCCTACTCTCCCTCCCCATCTCATTTCTATTTCATCCACGGTCACCTTTCCACGCTTTTCAATCTCTGCATCCAAATTGCGCACTGTGATTTAAAGAGGGAAAGGTGTTTAACAATATATTGCACTGATAGATGGAAGGCAACAGTCACGTTCGATGTTTAATGAGCTTGATAGTGTAGCGATGATGATCTCATTCTCTTTGTAGGGTTAGATACACCATGCTGGCATGCCATGTCGCAAACCATGTAGTAAAGCTACCGTTCTTGTGTCACTACATAAGGAAAATATTCCAGTTAATGGCAGATGAATGATTAATGTACTTCGTTATAGGCCCGTCATCTCAATTTAATGATCTATTGCGGTTTCATTATGAAGCTCTGTGTTATTTGCTTTTACTCATAGAATTTTCGGTGACACGACATTTGCTCCTGCGACAATTGCTCCGGGCTTTATTTCGTCTAAGATGTAGGGTTAGGGTTAGGGTTTCAATAGGGTTTTATGTTAGGTTTAGGGTTAGGTTTAGGGTAGGGTATAGTGTTGAATCCAGGGTTGAAGTTAGCCATTCGATTAGTGTATGAAATTTACAGCGGAGCAATTGTCGCCGGAGCAAATGTCATGGAACCAATTCTATTCGTACCATAACAAAATATCGTTTATTTCGTATTGTTTCAGTAAAAATGCATCTTATTCAGGTCTTGTTGACTATAAATTCATCCATGTTCAAATTAACAATTTCTTCTTCTTCTCCGCTTCTCCTCTCTCTCCTCCCCCTCTCTCTCTCTCTCTCTCCCCTCTCTCTCTCTCTCTTCCTCCCCACCCTTCTCTATTTTCTCTCTTCAATACAGGGTCCTATGGAGTGATGCGGAGGCGATGGAGGCCGCTGGAGGCGCTCTTCACCATCATCTACAGCTGCCACTAGGCAGGAGGAAAAGGAAAATCTAATTCCTCAGGCAAGACCCTTAAATCGGAGAATCATTGATCATAGGTTTCAAGCTCACTGGTACTAATAGCATTCGCCAAGGAGCTAGAAAATTGCAGAACCAAGCCATTATCCCTACAGGGAGCGAAAGCATGGTCCTTCTACAGTATATCTCATAATCTCAAATAGTTTACAGTTTCCAAAAGGTTTTCCCGAAATAAATAGTTCAATTTTTGTTGTTGATAAATATTGATGGCTAAGGGTCTCTTATATCAAAGGACATGAGGAACAGAGCTTTGGTATTGTTTTTGTTTGTGGTGGTGGGGGGGGGGGGGGGGGGAGGGAGGGGGGCTGGTGGGTTGAATATTTATTAGGAGAGATGTTTCCACCTGTAACTTTATGAGACACACTGTTATATACTATAGGTGTAAGTTGATGGGTAATCCGAAATGCAAATTGGATTGAGAACAAAACCATTAATTGACTCACAGAAAAAGGTGGAGGAGGCTTTAAAAACACTGATTAACCATTAAGTTATGACTTTTCGAAATCTAGAATTCTAGGTAATATATATGCATATGGAAATCGATATATAATTGAAGGATTGGTATGCTCGTTTTGTTCCATTTCCCAAAGTGTGATACCTGAACACACACCTATACTTGGCTACTATGTTCGATTGCCCTTTCAGGTGGTCCATTCAAATGAGTCATTTCATATACACCAGTGGCATATTCAAAAATTGATTTTAAAAAAAAGGGCAAAGTGCCCCCTGAATACTCAATAAAAACAAAACTGTAGGCATATTTGAGGCAGCTGCGCCCCTATACTGGACACGCCAGTGATCGCTGTCATATTAGTTAACTGTAACCTCATGGTGTAAGTGTAGTGATCGTTATTTGAAGAGAAATGAACAGATACTCTAACTATATTGAGAAACATAATTATCCTTATGATTGGACCAATTAGTAAGTAATTGTGACATGTTGGATATTGGACAAGTTGTATTCATGGACGCCATTTAAGATGAAAGTGCATTCAATGTGTTTTTGAAAATATATTATGAAGTAAATTAAACGTATATGTGTGTGATCTTAAAGAAGGTAAATGGTGTTTTTCATTTACTTCATTTACACTGTGAATTCTTTCAAAATGTGATACTTGTTATTTATGTCTAATATTTGCTGTACACAATGTAATTGTATACAAGGATCACAATCCTTTAGACTGTGTTTTTTTCTTTCAGGCTTTGTAGATTTATTTTGCAGAGTTATAATCATGCTTTAAAATAACAATTATTTCCTCTCTTTCTTGCAATCGTGTATACCAAATATAAAAAAAATAAAATCCGTATCTATATACTAATCCGGACTAATCCATGTTAGCCTATGCTTTTAGTACAGGTGAACTTGAGATATTTTTTTCCCGGGGGGGGGGGGGGGGTGGACCCGGGGTGGTCATCTTAAAATAAATAGTAGACCAAGTCTTTTCAACATGTGCAACTGAGTAGGCTGCTTGAGTTTGCAATGGGCTATGTTAACTTAATGCTCCATTGCATCATATTCGTAATGTTAGATGATATTTAATATAGTATCTCCTCCATATTTAGATATGGGGATTTAACTTGTATTTATGAGTATTGATTCAACATCTATGTCAATTGATGGTACTACAAATTCGTTAAATTATTAGTGTTGTACTTTTCTTTCAACCAAGTCATATTATGCACCAGTGCAGTGTACTTCTTTGGCACACTCCAAGTGATTTTGTTTTTCAGCCTGTCTTTTATATTTTTACAAACTACCTCTTTATTCGTTCTATTTTTTTATATTTTCAAGTTTTTGTACGTCTTTTGAAATTATGCATCTCCATGATCTCTGTGTCATATTAAAAATGAGGAAATGTGAACTGTTTGTATAATTATGAACCCGATTAGATGAACACTCATGACCAAATGAGTCATATATTTCAGTGAACATATCTTTCAAAGAAAGTTGTAAATGTATATCTAGGAATGAACCGAGTTGTATTTTATAGAATAACTGCCACATTGCAAAATGGCAGAAATGTAATCATTAGACAAAGACCTTTGAGATATTTTAGCTCCAGATGGAGTGACGTCATTACATTTTTGCATTCTTCAAAATACATTCAAATAATAACTCGTAGTCACGCTAGATATACGCCATTTCAATGAATTGTTCCTTTTACTAAATGCCAATTTGAAGAAATAGAGTTAACCTTTCATTTCATGAGGAACTCATGAGGAAAGGGAATTTTCTTTGGTGAAATATGAGTTCCAAAATGTTTTTGCAAAGTTACTCATAAATTATGTGAGAACTTCACGAAGTAAGCAAATGTTATGTAACATTCGACATAGTTTGAGTAAAACAACAATATTGCAAACTTTCCAAAAAGATGAAGTTCAAATCTTGCGCAAAGTTTCTTATTTTGCCCAGTTTCATAAGAGAACAGCTACTGCAATACCATTCTCTAATGTAATGTGTATAAAGAATACTTTATTAATTATTATTGCATAACTTATCATCATTCTGAATTAGATGAGGGATGGTAACATATTGAATGTCGGAAAGAATTTTATGCTACTCTCATTAATATTATTCAAACATCAAAATCCTTTAATATTAAGTCATTAAATCATGAACCAGTAACCCCTTCCAAGTCTTTGGAGTAATGTTCAGTCCCAGCTATGTTTCATATTTGTTTTGCATGAACTCAGAAAAACAGTAATTGTCGCACTCTGATGCAGATTGTTCTTCAGAAAATCAATGGGTACTCTTTAAAATTAAATTCACTGTTCTAAAGTTGGTTCGCCGTCCAAAATGACAGTACATGTATCTATATCATACGCAAATAATTATTTCATAGTCATGATTAGGAATTGAATTAATTATTATTAACTTTGGCTAGTGTAGGTTGAACTAAATAACATATTTATATGTATAATGTCCACCGCCCCCACCTTATATCTCCACATGGCATATGACCCTAGCACACGTGGCGTTATTTTGATTGCGTTATTATCTGCGCTAATAAACCATGTAAATGCATACGCCAATGATTCAACGCGTGGTTTCCATTTCCATTGGTGCATTTTACATTCAAATTTTGCACGGCGTCAATCTGACATGCCGCATTAAAGACGGCGTCAGGCGCTGACGTAGTCCTGCGTCAATAAAATGACGCCTCGTGTGCAACGGTCATAATGGTTAACCCATTGCCTACTGGAACCGGTTGGCTCCTGTATTAATCCTATGGTAATGAGAGAATTCAGTAGTCGATGAGTTAAGATGCGTCAAGATGCGTCAAGAATTTGATTGATTGATTAGGTGCCCATTGTATTGGTCACTATATGATTATTGTTTGTGCTGTCCATGGTGTCGTTGCATTGATTCATTCGTATTATCGAGAATAAAAGTACCTATATTATTTAATGACAATTGAACTCGTCTCATGCGTCTTTCCTGTTTCATTTTCGCCCTTCCTATTAGTTCAGAATGGTTGCGAGCGTAAAACGGGGACACATTCGTCTGAAATATCGCCTCTCTGTCTATTCCTCACTCTGTTTTATCTTTTCCATCTCTCTTTTTGCCTTCTCAGTTATGCTATTTTTCCTGTCTAACTGTTCCTGAATAATATCTTTCCAATCTGTTTCCTCTCTATCTCCCCTCCTCGCAAATTTCTCAATTCTGTAGTAATCTGCCTTTCTCACTAGATCTACCCTATTCCTTCTCAAGCTACCCTCCTCCTCTCTCTCTCTCTCTCTCTCTCTCTCTCGCTCTCTCTCTCTCTCTCCCTCTCTCTATCTATCTCTCCCTCCCTCCCTTCCCCACTCTCCCTTTGGCTGTCTATTCATTATCTCTCCCTATTCATCTATTATATCTCCTCCGCCATAGTTGGGAGCGCATCACAGGGGCCTTATACCAGGAGGAGAGCGAGAAACACCTGGCACGAAGGAAAGGCGTTGATGAAGCGATGGTGATGAAGCTGGACCTCGTTCTCAGGCCAAATGTATTTCATCACGCCACTGTTCTCCTGTTCGCTTGATTAACCCCGGGTTGCATACTCATGAATAAGAGAGCGCAATGAGGGAGGGAGTGAGGGGGGCATTTAGGAGGAGGATGGGAAGATGGTGGAAGGATGAGGTTAATGAAGATGGAAGCAGAATAGTAAATGCAATCTGATGTGAAACGAAAGCTATTACAAAAAGATGAAGAAGGTCGGATGACTGGGTTGGAATGTGATGGTACTGATGATGATGATATATTGATGATTATTGGGACCCTTGTGATAAATGATATAATGAAGCTAAATATAACTATATATGCGTGATGATGAGGGTGGTGACGACGACTACGACGATGATAATGATGATGGTGGTGGTGGTGATGGTGGTGGTGGTGGTGGTGGAGCAGAGCGAAGAGAGAAACAGAGAAAGAGACTGAGAAATAAACAACGTTAGAAAGAAAAAGAAAAAGAATGGAGACAGGTGAAAGGAGGGTGAGAATGTAGGAGAAGACAGTGATGAGAATTTGAAATAGAAGAGAAGAGAATGGGAAAGGAGAGAGGAGCAGCAAAAAAAACGAGATGAAAAAGAATGACATCACAACAGCAGACGTGACGGAGATGGAAAAAGCTGAGGTAACGTGAGGAGAGGAGGAGGCAAGGAAAATAATGACGGATTGGATAGAAAACTAGGCTGTCTCGATGATGATACTGGTTAGTGGTCGATGAGAAGAATGAGTGTGCTGATTGCCGCAGCTGGTGCCTAAAAATGATGTGTTTGGATGCAGGGCAGCCCTGGTTGCATGTACATAATGGATACCAAATCGCGTCTATTATGCTAATGCAGGGATACTGATGTGGTCATTACGTTAAATCCGTTGTATACTATTTCTTTCTCTGTCTGTCTGTCTGTCTCTGTCTCTCTCTTTTAAATCTCACTCTCTCTCTAGTATATATATCCATCTATCTATCTATCTCTCCCGTTCCTCTCCCTGTCCATCTCTTTTCCTTCTCCTCGTCCTCCCTTTCTATCTCCCCTCTTCTATATGCTAGTTCCTTTTGTTTTCTAATTTACTTTCTGTATCCATCATTGTCTTTCTCTCCCATCGCTCACCTCCATCCACTTACAATACCAATGGACTTGTATCTTTCGTTCCAATATTTCATTCCATTAAAAAAATTCATCGGATTAATATGCTTATTATATAAGCAGTTGCAAAAAGAAGAACAAAAAGAAAAAGAAAAAAAGAGATTCAATATGCCACGTCATCGCCATCATCATCGTTCCTTCGACCTCCCCTTTTTTTTCTTTGTTGGGATATGGATAAATGTTATTCATAAAACGAAGTTAGCACGCCTGTCATAATTAGGTAATGAAATTAGAATTTTCGAGAATTGCAGGCTGGAATAAATTACCATTACCACCACCAAGGCACCAACAACATCACCACCACCACTACCAGCAGCGTCATCTACGTACCAACACACCACCACTACCATTATCACCTCCACCACCACCAGCAGCACCACCATCATCACTACCACCACCATTATTATCATCGACCATCCTCTTTCTCTAGATATCTCGCTCCTCTCTCATCCCCTGACCGCTTCATTGGATACTCGCAGCGCATCTACATAAATAAAATACGCCATCATAGTGCAGACCTCTACATCACTGAAGGTCACACGGCCCAAGATCAAGGATTTAACATGAAGCATATTAAATAGCTGTCTGCACCATTCCTCTTTATCCTGGCCAATCATAACCATATGCTTTTAAAAGGTTACACTCTAGTAAATATGTGGGTGGAAATTTTGTTTCATCTTTCGTCGAAAAGGAATTTGTATTGGTTGTTGAACAAGCAGAGGTGAAGTGTTTGGAAAATTGAATGAGCTCTCGCAAAGACAACTGGTGAAAAGACCCCCATCATCTACTCCTCTTTCTCTTCCATCTCTCCCACTATCTCCGTCTCTCTTTACCTTCCAACCTCTCTCACCTTCCCTCCCTAGCCCAAAACAAATAAAAAGGAAAAAAGACTTCATAATGGCTGCTGGTTATTTAAATTATGTTTACCTTTTAATTGCTCATTCTCCCTACCAGAACATACCTGCCAACTTCCAAATCGAAATTTAGGATTCTCCTTTGCCAAAATAAGGACAGAGTACTCTGTATGTTTTTATACAGATGCTTTCAGCAAATAAGAAGAATCTAGGGTACATAACGTTTCTTTGAAAGAGGAGAAAGGAGGACTCATTTCTCCAAAATATGAAATAGGTGCCTGCTATGATAAAAAAAGTTATGAATTGCTTAAACAAGTCTGGGTACTTGAAACGAAATAGTACTGCTCCATACGAATGCTGCTGTGTGATGCCTGAATGGAGAACTGGGACCTGTTTCACAAAGCCCTTTTTCAATGACAAATTACAAAAAATCAGTGACAAATTTCCTGATAACCAATCAGAAGCAAGGATTTCAGTAGCTTATAACAAAAACTGTCATTTGTCACTGATGACAAGTTTTGTGAAACGCCCCGCTATCAAAATACCTCGCAAGATATGGTCTGAATTATTTCTTCATGGAAATAAATTGTAATCGCGGCAAGCAACACTAGTACTTAAAAAGATGGATTCACAAAGACTTTCCAGGTAATGAACATTTTTAATACAATGTATACAACCAGCAAAACATCAAAATATGTTCGCTTCGAACATTGGAAATGACCCCAGACATCTTCAGTTGATTTGTGGTGGAAACCTCAATTTCAAGCATAATTTGTATTCTGTAATGTTTTTGTGTGCTTTACATTGTGGTTACAAACATACAATACTTGTTGCGCTGTGAACTCAAAGATGTGGTTTTGTAAAATGGCAAAGCCTGGTAAAACTCCAAATTGTGTAAATTTTACGATCATGTACATTATTGGCTTTCTCTTGCGTCTAAATAGTTAATTTTCAATCAACAATTTCTGAAGTGAAAACTACATCATGTTAAACATGTAAACTGATGCCATATCAGCATTTATACATGCATGTGTTAATTATCAATTGAGAACCGATTTGATGAGATAACCACCTGGCAGTGACCTTGCAAGGAGGTCTAATCCCAACTGCCCAAACTAGTGCAGATGGGCTTCAAATGTGAGAAATATTATACCATAATCATTATATGTTGTGGTTATAATTTAGGCCAACACATGAAAACAAAGCAGCTAAAAATTCAACGCAAACTGCACAACATGAAATTCACAATTATGGATACATGGACACTGTATGTATACTTGGGACAACCTTGCAAGTAGAAAATGTATGTGCCTGGAGCACTGGACATTTCAAAATGCACAAAGATACCGTAATGTTAAGTTCTGGTTGTGAAAACAAGATTGCACGAGCCTTATATCGTCCAATGTGTATGAAGGGATATATGCAGGAGATGTTTTAAAGATAAAGTTGAGTTCTGGTCATGCGATTGCATTTTGAAAGAAATAGTGTGGAATCGTTAAGAAAAGGTTGACCATCTAGCATATAAGTATTGGTGTGTATACTCACTAAACTGCAAGGTTCTGCAATCATCAAAATGATAAGAAAATTGGCCCAGTCTTGGTAAAGTTTCAAGCACTGTACACAGAAATATGTATATGGGACGTTTATGATGTTACATGCCATATTTAGAATATTATAGCATTTGAAGAGCCATGCTTTTCAGGCCACATTTGATATCAGATGTTCCTCCACACTTGCATAATACAATGAAAACACTTACAAATTATTTTTCTTCCCAGAACTTAACCTTCTCTTTAAATTCTGTCCATGAATATATCCAAATGGAACTCAAATCGAGGCTCCTACTCCACTCTGCAAGCTCCCAAGCTCCATGCACAGCAATACAATATAGGTGTGTTGAATTTGAACAAATATATTTACAACCATCTAACAATTTTATGCAAAATATTGCAATGTCAGAGCTTAAATTCTGGCCTGATGTAGGGTTGGCTTGAGTATTCCATATTATTTGATTCCTAAATTCATAAACTGTTAACAAAAATGAACATGATTGTCTTAATATGTCAATAGTAACAGCAATAATACAAATATTAAAAAACCCATTAAGATTTAAGAACACACACAAAAACAAAACATGATAACTGCACATGCAAAAATATGTCATGTGTTTGAGCTACTTTACAGCAAAATCCATATTCTTACATTAATGTGAGATTAAAGGCACATAAAACATCATGTGCCCAGGAAGAGGATATCATTTCTATAACAATCATAGAACAGTGTCTTGACAATTAGCCTGATAAGTTTTAGAGAGGGGGGGGGGGGGGGGGTTAACTAATATACTTCAATACAGAGTTAATGCCATTCAGGTTCTCAACAGATGAGTCTATATACAATATGTGCAAATATATACTTACATAATTTACACTTTTAAATACATTCAATGTACATTACATTTATCTATCATTCCGAGAGCTGTCTTGGGGCCCTGGCCCGCCTGGTACGACTATTACCAGACGGTTGGACAGTCACAACAGACTCGCGTGATCCCTCCGCTTCTGAGCTTTTGGATGTCTTCTCCACCAGGAATGGGCTGGATAATGGTTGCCTGGATGCGGCGGTAGAGGTCAGGAGTGTCAAACCTGGTGTGGATACCAGTGAGGACATGGATGACGTGGTGGTGGTGGTCATTCCTGCTGCGGTCGATGAAGGTGTGGGTGGTCTGGATGCAGTCGTGACCATGACGGTCTTTTGAGCCCTCGCTGCCCGCTCGGTGCTTGCCTTGAGGCTGCTGGACAGGGCAATGAAAGGGGCTGAGGCAGACAGCTTAGGTTTCTGGGACATGGACATGACTGGATCTTTTGGCCTGGAGACAATCTTGATGGTGGTTGTAGCGGGTGCTGATAATGTCTTAAATGATGACTTGCTCTCCTTCAGATGCTCCTTGAGTTTGGCCAAAGGAAGAGTGTCAAGATCGACTACAGCCTGGGAGCTATCTTCACTTTGGGGGCTTTGGCTTTTCTTGGAGTTCACGCCCTTCAGTTTGGACAATGATACAGAATCAGTGTCCGGCATGGTCTTTTCTCTTACGCTGTCGGAAGTGCTTGTTGTCAATATTGAAGAAGATCCTAAGGACACAGTGACTATCTTGCCTGCAGCAGCAGCCTTATTCAAAGACTCTCTGGCAGGCAGTTTGTTAGTGATGATTGCGGGTGTGATCGTCTTTGAGTGGGAACTAGCTTTCGAATGGGAAATAGACTTGGACTGTAAACTGGTCTTAGACTGCGAAGTGGCTTTTCCTCCTGAGACACTTGGTTCTAATTTGGTGAGGGGTAGAGAGCCATGCTCTAGGTTTTTGAGGATCTTTGCCTGTGTAACTGATTGAGTGCTATGTGTGACAGTCAAAGAGGCTGTGGTAAGTGGGAAGTCGTGAAACTGCAGCTTCTGAATAGCTTGCACCTGTGCATCTCTTTCCTCATTCGAAGACTTCTTTGAAGACTTGGAGCTAGTGCTGGTAATCTGCTGAGCCCCAATTAGACCCAAGATAGATACATCCGATGAGACCTTGGAGGACTTGCTCCCCGTGATGACACCCGATGGGGTACTGGACTTGACTCCAGAACTCCTGGCCATGACTGGAGGAGCTTTAGTCGTGACCAGAGTGACACAAGTCGACTTGGCTGGGGCAGACTGTGCTGCTTTCAGAGCGGTGGAGATCAGGTGCGGAAGGTGCATGGCCAGACTGGATGTCTTCACGTCAGAGTTGGCACTTACAGAGAAGTGGACGCTAGACGTCTTGCCAGAGTACGATGAGGATGATACCGTTGTTGTCTCCGAACCTGCTCCCTTTGGACCTGATGGCTTTGAGGGTCCACTTGTCTTGCCAGCTCCGGTCTCAGCACTAGTCAGGGCCTGTCCAAAGCCCTGCTTGGTGCTGAACATGCCTTCCAGGACTCTCATCTGGGCACCGGATGTCTCCTTCAGCTGACTCCCCTGGATGTTGAAGCTCAAGCCATGCAGGAGACTACCCTGCGATCCACCAGACGAGGACGATGCCGAAGACACAACACCCATCTGCTGCAGCTGAGTCAAGGACTGTCCAGAATCAATCGTCACCCTTGTTCCTGCAACCGGTCGTCCCTGCACTGTGGTGCTCGTCGATGATCCAGGACCTTGAGAACTTAGCGTAGTTGAAACAAGTGTGTATGTGGTCGGAGGCCTGCCGCTCTGGGTGGGGTTGTGAATAGACACACCTTTAATCTGTGCAGGGGATGGTGACACAGAGACAGTGCTGCCCGTTTGGCCCCTGGTGATGATTGGCAGGTCAGCCATCTTCACCTGCTTCCGTCGTACAGTAGCTGGGCTCTGAGTGGCACTCCTCTTGGGTGCCTGTTTCACTATAATGGTTGTAGCATCGATGCCTGCAAGCAATAGTGGGAAGAAAAAAAGTGCTCATTTTCAAAACAAATACATTTTACCCCATCATTGAGCCTTACTATTATTCCTTGTGAACTAAAATCATCTTGTATCACCTAATCCAGCAATACACACAAAAAATGTAAATAGGCATGGTTACATGCTTTACACATAAACTACAGGAAGCATAGCATTGAATGGACATTTAATTGACAATTTATTTACTTCATTTGTAAATTCATGTTCATGTAGTAACTGCTTACAGTGTTGCAATAACCATTTGAAATATATACATATATATATTTTTTTAAACGGACAAACTCCCCCCCCCCCCCCTCTATTTAGGCATTAGTATTTTATTTTATGATGAATTAAATAAAGATCAATTTCAACTTGTATTTCGAAGAAAGATACTTCCTCCTGTAATCTATAAAAAAACCCACTCTTTTCTGTTCAAGGCTTACAGTAATGTGCTTTTTAATCACTCCATGAAAGAGATCACAGATAAAAGGTAGTGTATCCCTTTTGAAGCCAACATCAAATTCTGTAGAACTTTGCATGAATTATGAATATGTCATGTATGTCCTATCTGTGAAATTTAAACGTTAGCAGTGTCCTAGTATTCAAATTATACAAGTAAACCCGTTAACTTTCAAGACTTCACTGCCAGACACTACTGAGTGACTGACTGACTTTCATTTTCTTTGGAACAAATATAAATAAAATGAGCTGTAAAGGATATGAGGTTTTGTACACATCTATAACCCGCTTCTTGTGATTATCATATTACACGGTACAAGGGTCAGAAAATCAGATAGTTTTACTTTATATGCATAATTTTAGGAGCGCATTACGAACATTTCTAACGGTCGATATAATTCCACATAGAGGCAATTACCAGTCCTAATCTTTCAAGAGGAGTTTTTAGTTGGTATTATCTCTCATTTACCATAGGATTTACAGAAGTTATATTTTCAGCCTGCCAAAGGGACACACCACCTTTAAGACGAGTATCCACAGAAAAAGCCTACCTTCAGTGCCAGCGTGTGTACCTGCCGCCTTCGGGCCTCCAAACCTGACCGAACCTTTGGTCTTGGGTGTCTTCTCTTCTTTGCTCTGACTAGCCACCCGGGCCAGGTACGCTGCATACTGCGAACTGAATTCCTTGGCCTGGTTCCCGGATGAGAGCGCGGCAGCGAACGAGGTCTTCTGGGTGGGCGTCGCTTGAGCAGAAGAGGAGGCGGAGGGTTTGAGGCCGGAGGGTGTGAACTGCATGACGGGAGGGGCGGAGTGGGGCTTGGAGGAGGTGGGCAGGGGTGCAGGTGGTGGTGGTGGGGCTATCATGGCGCTGGAGGAGGAGGAGGAGGTGATAGGCAGCATGGGTGTAGGGGTAGGTGTGCGGGAGGTGCTGGCTTTGGTGGCCTTCGGAGTGGAGGGCAGGCTGGAGATGCCATGCTGTTTGAGAAGATACGATAGAAACAAGTTTCAATATGTGACAGCTAACATCCCTCTCATGTAACACACTGTTTTGAAAGAAAAGGACATCTAATTCATAATTAGTTTGTAGTACATATGCATCTCATGGCAAATATGAAATTAATAATTATCACCTTTAAATCTAATCCTCCTTTCATTCTTGAACATACATGTAACATGAATCAAGTTGGGTTAAAATTGGATTAGCGGTTCTTCTGTTATTGCAGGAACAAGTTCTTTACAGATTTTTTACACATCCATATTGAACTTTAATCTCTTCAACTCCACAATGTCATCAGTGTATTTTATCAGGCATATTGTAAATTAAATTTGGTTACAATTTTGAATTCATGGCAGTAACAAATAATTACACACAAATGCATGGAATGACACCAAAAAATACAGTCTAACCTGTCATAATGGTTACCTCACTATATAGGCAACCTGCAAATGGTGTTAACCTACGTTTTCCAGGTGCGGCCTTATAGAGAGGTTTGGCTGTAAATTCTTTGTAGAAAAAGATAAACTCACAGAAAGTTTGGGCTAAAATAAAATACTAACCTCGGCAAGGCTTGAAGGAGTGGTGGAACGTCGCCCTGGGATAGATGCTGCCACTGGGGGAGTCTTCCTGCCTTTCATCTCGGTGGAGAGGTTCCTCTGGACTCTCTTCTTCTTCTCCTTCTCTTTCTTCTTGGTGTGGTGATGATGTTCACCCTCCCCATCTCCTGCTCCATGGTAGGTGGATGATAGTACCACAGTAAGGAACTCTGAAACCTCATCCTACAATAAGAACAAAAGAGTTTTACAACTGGATTGCTTCTCCTACAAGGGGGATGTTTCACAAAGAACCATAAGTTGAACTTAACTCTAAGCTGGACTTAAACATTATGGAGACCCATTTGTAGCCTTAAAATAAAATATATTCAAAAGCAAAAATTCAAGTATTTTAGACTTTCATAAATTCCACATCAAAAACATGAAATCTCCTTGATAATAGAAAATATGAATGATTTTAATCAACTTTTAATGCATTTTAAAACAACTTTTACAAAATATTTTCAAAGATGCTAACGGCTTTCCATAATTGTGCAGTCCAACTTTGAGATAAGTTCAACTTAGGATCTTTGTGAAACACCCACCAGGAGTGCAAACATTTCAATAATACTGCCTTGAGGTTGAGGCATACATGTACCTGCAAAAGCCAAAGGGTTGTTCACTATGGCAAAATATTCTAGGATGCAACGAATAGCAGGAGGGGATAAAAAAAAAAAAGCAGCTGCACGCACCAAGATCGTACAGGTGCTTTCTTACCTGCATGTTACAAGATACAGTGATGTCAAGTGCAATAGGCCTATAAAAAGATATGTTGTATTCCTTTCAGATGCCAAAACATCGGTCGGTCAGAATTTTTTTTTTTTTTAAACTTTTTTTTCTTTTCCCTCTTTGGGCTGCTATTTCTCAATTTTGAATGCTTTAATACACATTTTTGTATTCATTATACATTTCTCTAAAAAAACGGTAAAAAAATAAATAATTAAAAGCAGACTGTAGATTTCAAGATTTTTGTGTCGGTCGCAAAGGGCAATACAACATCTTTTTTTTGTAGGCCTTATTTTGCTCTGGCGATTTACTGCAGCTGTTTTATTTGGCTTTTCATGCAGCTTTATTCACACCTAAGAAAATGTCTATGCTAATCCAGATTACAGGATTGAAATGTCACACGACTGGCTTTCTCAAAGTTTGAAAAGGCTCAACTGATTGGTGTTCAAGTTTACTTGAGCAATATGAAAGTAAGTGTGATCATTACAAAATATAGCTGACTACTCATTTACCCATCATGAAAGAAAAGTACTGGGTTTTCGGACTGTTACTTACCATTAAATGGTTATTACACTTGGGAACTGCACATACACTGCATTATTGCTTTCTCAACATATGGCACCTATATTCAACAGCCTATCAGAGGAACAGAATGTGTTCTGGGGGGTGTTTGACAAAGACTAAGATCGACTTTAATTGGACTTAACCATGGCAGGCAGTTCATGCAACGAGCTCCTTCTCAAGGGAGATACAAATTGTGGTCACAAATCTTCAGAATTTACCTTTTTTGATAGTTCGTTGTCGAAGGATAAAATATTATCTAAAGATCATAATTGAGAGACCAACGGTGAGAGCAACCAGTGGCATAAATGGCCTACCATAGTTAAGTCCAACTTAAGTCGATCTTAGTCTTTGTGAAACTCTCCGCTGGTAAACTCACCAGGATGCACCTATCCACCATGGTCTGGGTGACGCCTTCATGGAGCTTCTTGGCCTTGGGGAGTCTGAGACGATCATCGGCCCCGCCTACCACCACAAGGGTGGTGTCGGCCTTCATCCTCTCCCTCAGGTCCTCCAGACTGTCCTGGTTGCACTGGCTCGACTCCTGCCCGATCACGAAGAACGTCGGGGTCTTGCTCTCAAAGAGGGGCTCATCCAGGTCCTACAAGGAAGAGAGTTGCATCGGGTAAGAAATCTTAGAAACAATCTGGAAGATTATACAGACATTTATAATGCACAACATATCCCCTAGAGGTTGCTCATAAACTGAAGGTGCTTAAAACAATAATATAATAATAATATTCAGTATAGCTTCCTGAGTGAGCTGCCAAAGGGATTACCCAAGTTCTTGTATAGCACATAGTACGTTATGAAATAACATCTCTATGCGCCTCAAAAAGCCTTTGGAAATGATTACCCTAGCTTTAGCTCCGGCAATCTTTATCAGTGCACAGTGTATTTCAAGGAATAATCCTACCAGGTCACCATTTACCTCACCTGGGTTGAGTGTGGCAAATGCAGATTAATGTCTTGCCATTAAAACATGTTCAGGAGAAGCTGCTTGACATTCTGTGTGTGTTTTATTTTGATGAACCTCTGGATCACTGGTTAGGGGTACTCTAGGGAGATCTAGCAAGCTATCTCTTGATCCAGGATTGGTTGACTAGTATGGAATGCCCTTGCACTCAAAAAGAGGTTTAACCCTGGCTGCCTCTCTATGTAGCATGTAAAGGATCTTCAGAATGCAGGAAATTTGTAGTATAGTTTGTGAAGTGTCATGGACCTTTTATGACAGGAATATGAATAAGAACTATGGAATAAGAACTTGAGAATTAGACGGATTGGAAATTAGACTAAATGAACAATAGAACAAAAGGGTAGTAGACGAACTGGTTGTAGAACAAACAGCAATAAACCGCCTTACCCCTCTATCTCCAGTGATTCCTCTCATCGGGAAGCCCAGGCAGATGACTGCAGAGACAGACTCTACAATAGCTACCTGCAGATGGAGATTGAAGAGAAAAAAGTCTTTATAGAGTACAGAACAGATTAAACGTTTAGTTAGACACAGTTATCTATATATCTTGTTTTTCTGTTAAGGGTCAGGCTTGACAAGCCTGTGTTCCATTAATTATTCTGCCCTTTTACAAACTAAAGTTCTTTTTTGTTTTATATGTAAACATCACTGATAGAAAATTTGTTGTTGGTGCATACCCCCCAAAAAATGAATATCACATTATATTTCCACTCTTTCAATTTTTAAATTAAATAACATTGTCCCTGTAATCTTACATTATGTAAAGCATGTACACAATTAAAAAAAAAAAAGATCATTCATGGCTCCAGGATTTTTAAGTAAAGGGGGCACTTCAAAACCTTTTCAGTTCAGTCCATGGGACATGACTTTGGCATGGGCAAAACCTCATATACCCATACAGGGGTGGGGTGTGTCGAGGGGGGGGGGGCTTTTGCCTCCTTGAAACTCCCTCTAGACCTGCAACTGATTACAGGCACATGGATGTGGAAGCTGAATTAACAGAAATGATTATTTCATTAACTTACATGGCATGCTACAAGTGCGCCAACAGACCAGCCCAGCAATACGATGGGTCGATTGTGAAAGTTGGTCTTCAGCTAAAATAAAGAGTAAAGAAAAGAGTACTTTATATTCATGTCAAAACAAGGTGTCTAAGACATGGTATCAACCTACAACATGGTAATGAATATGTAATGAGTTAAAAATAAACTGGGCATAGTTTCACAAAACAGTCATAAGCACAAGTTTGCTGACAACCCTTTGAAACCTGTGTATCAAACCCGACACGCCTTTCGATGGGATGTTGGCAAACTTGTACTAGAAGGTTTCTCGAAACGATGCCCTGGAGTTCAGTTCAATAAAAATTTATTTAAAAAAAAAAACAAGCTCAATTCGTCACCAATGGTTTCATGAGTAGAATTGTGCAATCTGTAAAAAAATGTAGACAAAATGAATACACCACACAGCATTTGCAAACATCTATGGCTCATTGTCTTCAATATAAATGGTACGGTTAAACAAGATTTCCACTGTTTTTTTTCTCTTATCATTACTCTTTTCTATTTATTTGCTATTAAATTAGTTAGGCAGGTATATTTTCATAGAAGTATACAACACTCATCATGAAATTTGATGCATTACGTGAGAATTTAGAGCCTTGTCAATATCCACAGCAAGACTAACTCATTAAGTTAATGGAGTATTTTAGAGGGCTTAAAGAATCAGCAAATTAGCAATATCAGTTCTTTCCTTTTACCGATACACCCATTCAAGAAAATACCACATGAATGATTATTACCCGGGGTAATAATGTCAGAGCACCAGGAACGTCATGACGGTGGGTGTGACAGACACGTGCACTTTATAAGATACCACCATTATTATTACTATTATTATTTATCAAAATAAATCTCTTTATTAAAAAGAAACAAACAATCAAGTTACTAAATCTCATTCTTTTGGCATTTAGAAGATCAGGGCCCCGTCTTACAAAGAGTTGATATCAATCGCATCTTATTTTGTATTGATATCATTGCAACTATGTATATAAGAGATAGGAAACTGCAAACTTGCGATTGATTTGGATCAATCGCAACTCTTTGTAAGACAGGGCTCAGCATTCTTGATGAAGACCATTCTGCATTCCTGCATGCACCTACATACCTCTGCTACTTTAGTCCTGACCGAGCCTATCATGTGTTCCAGGCACTGTGCGATGGTGATACCTGCCCCACCCTCCGGGGCATGGACGGTGACCGGGACCACCTTACCCAGGTTGCCCAGCTGAGAGTTCCAATACCTGGTGCGACGGGACTGCGGCATGGAGGGGTGGACGGGGCCGTCAGGGGCGATCAGGAGGATGGGGGCACCAGGAAGCTTTTTCTGAGGGAAAGAAAAAATATTGAGGTCACATAGTTGAAGAAATATATAGTATATGATACAGAAATCTTTCATTGGTTGGGGTAATCATAATATTTGTTTAAGTTTCTACCACCCTTAAAATTTAGTAGGCTTTTATTCCACTCCTGTGGACTTTCTCAAGATCACTGGAGCAAAGATAGGTGACAATGAATAAACAGAGTTCCTATTCAGTGAGGGATTTAATCCTTTTAATCCAGATGGATTATTTCACCTTTCCAGACCAGTAGTGTGTTTCATAGTCGATCCTTCACTGAGATGGGACTCTGGCTATTCATTGTTACCTAACTTCGCTTATTATTTGGTGATACCACCAAATTTCAAGGGGGCAGACTTTAGGGATGGACTTACTGGTTTAGGAAAGCCAAGACCTACTGTGTCTGTCCAGTCTCAAAGGCTCTTCAAGCGAGAAGAGCCTAAGAAATTGTGGTATTGACCATCAAAAAACTACACAGGGGCTTGGGGCGAATTAGTCCCCGAAAGTCATAAAAGAGCCAAAAAAATCTACATAGAGTTTGATGCAAGACAAATTAAAGAGTGTTATTTTCATGCAAGCAAGCTTGAAAAGTAGCTCCCGAAATCATTTAAATATTTTTTTTCCCTGTGACCATCACATTCAATATAATGTAAATAGGAACATTATTTAACACAGAATTAACACCCTTCTGGCTCTGAACAGACAAACGATATAGACTTACTGGTTTATGAAAGCTGAGTAGACCAACGGCTGGATCCCAAGGCCTCTTGAGAAGGAGGGAAAGAGCTTCCGAGCTTGTCGTGTTGACCTTCCGCGTAGAGGAGGTGAGGTGTACCATCTTGTCTATCAGAGTGGGAACCTAAAGCAGTAGTAGAAGAAGTAAAAGATCCGGTAGATAAGACAAGTTTCATAATTTGTATAAATGTAATGCTTCCTGGGAGAAATTTCAGTGATTTAAACATATTTGTGGCTTACACCCAGTAAATAAGATTGATCGATCGATCTGTATTGAAATACAAGTCAGAAAAAAAAAATCTTGGAACCAGCAGGACTTGAACCTGCATCTAAGGACAGTGGCTACAGTCAAATTGAAGGAATTTCCAAAGCTCTAGAAATACATACTTCATTTGGCAACTTTGACAGACAGTTGAAATGTACAGAACAGAAATAGCGTTAGGATATACTAAGTAGTGTAATTCGTTCCTATTTGTACTTTCCAACCTAACCAATGAAGAGAAAGATTAAGAAGTTTAACCATTTCCTTTATATAACCTACGACTCCACCATGATATCTGGAATTCTCAGCAAAGCATTAAAGACATCGTTTACCAATGTTAAATCTGATATGCATGGCTCTACATTTTATCAGTGTCTGTGATACATGTATGGTGTAATATTGAAGCCCTAAAAAAACTGTGCTTCAAAATGGCCATGAAGTGCCTCAAAAAAGTAAAAATCTTTGAGTGACCAGTTTTACCATACTCATTTTTCCCAATAGACTACAGTGTTATAAAAACTGTAAGGACAACAAAAAATGAAATTTTGATTTCCAATCATAGATATCTTGATAATCAGACAGGCAATTGGCTTGTAAAAGTCTTGGGATTCAGGTATGACCTAAAGGTTTATAATTATGATTGCAGCATGACCCAAATCCAGGATTTTTTTAGACTCTGAGGCAAAGTTACCCATCCCTTTAATAATTTGAAGCTGCTGATTTCAGCAGTGCATTCATATGCAATTCATTCCATTCATCACATGAATTATAGTAATAAATGATGCAACCAAAGGAAGCAATCAAGGAACCCACCTTAGACTTGAGGTTCTGAAGGACGTCCAGATAGATGGCTAGCAACGAGGAGCTGAGGTTATCCACCAAGACTCCATGAAGCCACTGGGTCAGTTTGGGATCCTGTAGGATAGAAAAGCATTGTCACAGATTGTAAAAGGAAAGTTACACTAGGGGTCACTGGGTCAGTTTGGGATCCTGGAGGATAGAAAAGCAATGTCACAGATTGTAAAAGGACAGTTACACTGAAAGACGAAATCAAACCTATCTTTAAATCAAATTCTGATATTGAGTCTCTTTTCCTTCCTATATGTATGTATTGTTTTCTTTGCTTCAGCCTCTCTTTATTTTTCAATGCTTAGTTTTCTCTAACTGCCAATATTTTTTCTTTTTTCCTGCTCTCATCTGACGATGGATAGTCAACCTGTTCGAAATGTCGAGCCACTCCTACCACCCATCCTCTCCAACCGGCGCTATAGTTTAGAACTATAAGCTCAAGAAAGATTACCAACAGTCCTTTTCAGGACTACACACACTCAAGAAAGAAAGAATACAGACAGTCCTTTTCAGGATTCCTCAATCCTTCTCCGCCCCCTTTCTCACATGGTGCAACTGTATAATATCTGTGACAGTTTTTTTGTTGCATTTAGCACTACATAAATCCAGAATGTTATCATCATCTTTATTTCTTGTAGCATCACGTACCCATCCTACTGAAGCTAGGGTCCGTCGAACCAGCTTGGCACACTTATCAACGTGAATCCTCCTCTTCACTGGCTCATTAGGCACCTAAACCATTGAAAATTGAAAATAAAATCATGTGAATTTTTAGGAAATAGACTATCAATATTTTCAAGTAGTCAGACAAGTACACATTTGTTGTTATGCACATTTACTAAAGGCAACAGTGGGTACTTGAGAGCAGTGTGAGACTTGAATGAACACTACAGAAGAATGATGTCTATATCGTAAAGAACAATATTTAAGTTTGTTGCCAGAATTTACTCTACATAAGTAATTTGTATTATAAACATGTATCATATTATATATTCATTAATTTCTAATACTCTGGCCAAAACTATGTCTATTACAATCTAAAACATCTATTTATTACCAAAAGCCTCCAGCCTCCAGCCTCCAGTTGTGAATATATCTTTTTGTTCTTCAGTTATAATATCAGTTGACACTTCTATACCACACAAATATTATAATAATAATAATAATAGCTATATTTATATTGTGAACATACACTGTACATTTATCTACCCCAGGGGATGCTGAAGGTGCCTGTAGAGTAGTATTGTTTACCTTTTTGCTTTTACAGATATCTGCATATGTTTTGAATGTGCATCAAATACTTTGTGTAGATTAGTAACATATGAGTTTGTTCTCTTACAATCAGATTTCAGACAGCACATATCATGCATGTTATTCATATCAATGTCAAAGTGTGAGGGCCACTGTGAACAGGTCGCAGACAGTGCTTTACACTAATTTTCTTTGTTGGGGGTCAGGACTGGGGAGTGTTTCACAAAGACGTAGATCGGCTTCAAGTTGGACTTAACTATGGCAGGCCATTCATGCCACTGGTTGCTCTCACCATTATGATCTTTAGATACGTTATTTTCCTTCAATAATAAATTATCAAAAAGTGTAAATTCTGTAGATTTGTGACCATGATTTATACGTCCCTTGACAGACCAAGGCCAGTAAGTGGTGAGAGCAAACAGTGGCATGAACGGCTTGCCATAGTTAAGTCCAACATAAAGTCGATCTGGCACCTGTTAGTGTCAAGCCCTGTTACATGTATATAGATCTTGTGTACTCAATAGTAAATACCAGGGAATGAAATCAAACTATCATGACACAAATATGCATGTAAAACACAAAGTCTGATATGAATGGTTAACCTGGGGAATCTACAGGGTAGGTATGGAGCATTACCTTGTCATACGCCAGTCTTGCCAGTCGATTGGCTTGGAGATGCTTGAGAATCTTGTTGAAGAGTTTACTCTGGTGGGCTGTCCAGCCAACTCTGAAGAAGACGAAGGAGAGGAGGAAATTTTTACTGGGGATACATACAGTAAATAGTTGCAAATCATTCATTTACTGGTACTTGCCTTTTGACTCTTTTACAAATGAGTACCCCCCCCCCCCCCAAAAAAAAAAAATAAATAAATAAATAAATAAATAAAAAATGCAGCAAAATCAAAGGTATTGAATTTCACACACATTCATCTAATAACCCAAAATCATGAGTTTGTTGCATGCATTTCTTCTTTCTTTTTGAGCAAATGTGCCACTTAAATTCAATTACACGTGAAATTGTTGTTGATTTTGCAACAAAGAAGGATGATGAGTTAAAGAATGTGAAGGAGAAAAAAAGATGGAGGAGTAAGTGGACAATAGGGTAGGACTAAGATGAGGAGAGTGAGAAAGCAAGTAGAGCAAGAGGGAATGAAAAGTAGGAGAAATAGAAAAGAATGTGGATAGATAGACTGATGAGAGAGAGAATGAGAATGAGGAGGAAGAGAAAGAGGGATATACAGTTAACAACTGAATTATTCATACTCCTTGTAAATTTGAGACATTTTGTGTTTTTTGTAACTCAAGAATGAAAGGCGGGCCAGTTGAATTAGGGCAATTGCTGAATACTGTTTTTATGTATTAGCTTTAACATGTTACATTCTCAAGAAACATAAATTAGAGCATATCAATTTTTTCTCATACTTTAAAAATGACAAAACTTGGTAAGGGTACAAATAATAACTAATTATAACAATAATAATAAATCACATTTATAACGCGCCTAATACTTTGTTTCTAGGGGCAGTAAAATAAAATCCGGGAAGACAGCACCACGATTACACAATATTATTTAATAAAAATTACAGTTTGTTACAGATTTAAAAAATCAAACAACTTAATCTTACTTACGTGTATATTTTACTAAAGATGACTTATTTCATAACTAATAGTAGTATGACATCTATTTATTTATTTATTTATTGTGACATGTTAAGAGAAAACAGAAATTCATGATATGGGTTTGAACTACAATGTAAATGAGTAGGAGGAAAAGAAAGAGAATGTTTCCATTCACATATTGTACCTGGATAGTTTATCCTCCCAGTCCTCATCGCTACGTACATCATCGGGGTCTGTCCGTGCAAAGTTCACATAGCGCTCACACTCATTCATAACAGACTGTGCTTTCTGAAGGTCATAGGGCATGGTATGTGTTTGACCTACTGATACAACATCTATCTCAGCGTCAGCATCACTGTAAAATTGTGGAAAATAAGTCATTTTATATAATCGTAAAATAAATAGTTTGATTCACATATATCGTACAAAGATTCTAGGCTTCTGACTGGTCAAAAACTGCAGGCATGAAATTTGCTACTAACTGCTGGGCAGTGTAGCAAAAAAAATTGACCATGCATAGTTCTACTTGCGAGTACAGTGCAAGGATGCAATAGTTGCACATGAAGTAAAACAATGGATATGGGCAATGTTTCCCAATAAATAAATACATTTTGACAGGCATATTTTGTATATATCTCTTTTTGAGAATTGACAAAGGGGATACCGATTATTACCGGTAGTAAAATATTGACTACTTATTTTCTGGGTCACAGTTGAAACTATTGCTCTTCTGTGATATCAGTACTGCATTAATCACGGTACAGTTTCGAGCTCACCTTGGGCAATAGCTTTGACTGTGCCCAGAGCTGCCAACCTGTCACATTAAAAAAACATATTATTCAGCTTGAAAAAACATATTTTTAGGTGAAAAACCATATTTTGCCTGTTTTACGTTTTTTGTTATTTTCCCTATAAAATGCTACTGCAATCATGTTTCTTTGAATAAAAACGCTTTCAATCATTGAGAGCTGCCGGCCTGTCAGTTAAAAAAAAAAAAAAAAAAAAAAAAAAAAAAAAAAGATTTGTTAAATATATTTAGCTATTTTATCAGAAAAGTCCATTATATAAAACTGAAAGAATCATTGTGTATTGCGGCGCAACACACGATGATGTTATATGCTTAAGTTGCGGCACAAGGCAAGTCTAGAGTCGCAATCAACTTTGTACATAAAGTCAATGCATCAGCAGGTCCGTGTTTATTTTTCATTTGGCTTTTCGAAGATACCATCACATTCGAAGGGCTTGCGATAGGCAAAAAAACTGGTAACAAAATTGCTGATTTCTTGATTTTTAGCGCTTTTTTGGTGAAGCTGTTTCTTAAAACTGGGCTAAGCCCCCGTGAGCTTTAGAAATATGGCTTCGATTCCGCATTTTTGACAGCAAAATTTGGCTTTTGGGATGGATTTTTGGTAGTAAGATCGGGACTTTTTTGTACTGCCACTGTGTGTGTATTGCAGTGCACTGATGATATATGTCATTAGCGTGTGTATGGATGGCCTGGGGAAATGCGCTCGTCTTTGAGTGGTGTACATCCCCTGTATTGTGTGCAATGTACATGCGTGTGCGCTGCAGGAATCGCCGACACAAAGCAATAGCAAAACTATGCATACGCTGGATCTCACAGCCAGCCGCTAGCCACGTTCGCACAGCCATACACGAAACTTTCAAAAAACGTATTTTGGCACAGCAAAACGTACAGACATATTTTCCCCCAAAAAAACGTATTAATACGTTAAAAACGTACTACTTGGCAGCTCTGTGTGCCCCTCAAAACTGTCAATATTTATATACTTTGTTCATACAAGAACTCTGTTGAAGCTTCCTTGAGTAAAATTTCTCTCATGCACAGACCCTTTATTTCCTACCCCCTACAAGTAATTGCAATGACATCCCCTTAGAATTTAACAGCTCTTTCCATATATCATTTTATGCTGATATTTCCTTGCAGCAAATTTCATGAATTGATGATTTCAATTTCAGAGTTCCAGAGCTTTCCACAGCTTTATTGCTTTATGTTTTCATGTACATCTAGACTCCATTTTTCCTGCACTTCTTGCAATGATGACACATCTAGAGCTGTAACTTAACTGTAGGTTAGGTACATGTACATGAATCGTGTTTGATCTAGGGTTGAAGTAATGAATTAAATGAGTGTAGAATATTGCCTCCAAAAAATTGTTGCAAGAGCATGTGTCGTAAAAGCCATTGCATGTAAGTATAATTTTGCTAGTTGCTACTTACACAATGTTCCGTTTGGAAGGCTGAAGTCGGAGGGTCTTGGGAACAAAAAGCATGCGAGCAGGCTTGGCATGGCTGGCGTTAGGATGAGCATTCCAAGCCCGGGAGTAGGAATGGTCCAGGCAGACCAGGTCTGATTCCTGATAGTCTCCGCACAGCTGGGCCAGGAACGAGCAGGATAGCCTTGACCGGAGGCCATGGTCTGGGGTGGAGGACTCGGACATCCTCGCTGGAGACTTGTAGAATGCTGCTAGGTTAGGCAAGATGTACTGTCAGCTCAATAGAAGACAAGTCTCACCCCTGACTCAAAGGGATACACTTTAACACAAAAGAGAAAAAGAGAGGAAAACAAAATCCATTTATAATCGATGTTCATAATGTCAGTCATTGAGAAGTCTGTGTAGCAAAAAGAAAACAACATTTTTTAATACGGGCGATACAAATATGATATCAATAGAGGAAGCTCGGTTGCAAATGTAGATCTAGAGTAAAGGAGCTGGTTTTCGGTCACTTAAGACAAAATCCTATTTTTGGACCCTTTACTTCCTATTTATTATCATTTTTTGTTCAAATCATGAAGCAAATATTATTATTATTTAAACAAAACAAGAATCCCAGAAAAAAATCACGAATTGCCATGACAATATTCATTTCAATTTTCACTGTTTCGGAGTCAGTTTTCGGCATAGCGTACCAGTTTTCGGCCGCATGTACATAGTCAATAGGACGCGCGCGCACGCGCCGTGCGTTTCCGCGCTGATCTATAGCACTAGCGGGCGGAGCAGATATCCCACGCCGGAGCTCCCTGGAGCTCGCCAGGCCGAAAACTAGTACTGCGGTGATCGGATATTGGAATCTGAATTAGACAGAGATATCGTGTGTGCGTTGCGGTGTGCGACTGTGCATTGATTTAATACATGCGATGAGATACTTTTGAGCTTGCGACTAGCACAAAATCGGGCTCTAAATCTGAAAAATACTTGAAATAAAGCTCATTTTATGGTACCCATATTTCTTACAGACACGCGTAAGATACTCGATTTTTCAGATTCGGGTAGCGGGACCGCCGATTACATCGCTAAAATGTGATATTTTAGGATATATTTTTCATTGCAAATGTTGTTCTTCAGTGACACTGGCATGTTATGGTATGTGTGGGATATGTGTTATGCTATTATGCGATGTATTTTAGAGGGATTTTACCTTGCATCCAACCAATCGGCCGAAAACTGGAGCTGGCCGATTACCGGCTCCTTTACTCTACAATGTCAACGGTCAAGATTCAGAGACTTGAAAGCCACATCGCAGATGATAACGAAAGTGAAACTTAGAACAAATCAGGCCATTCATTTTGCCATATTTTTGTGGAACAAACTAGGTTCTTGACACGAGTCTTGTCATGTCTCTTGACTCTTGACCGAGTCATTAGTAGGGAGGCCAATGCCCGGGCGTAAGGCTTCTACACCTACGATTTGTGCGCTCGTCGCCCACTTCAAAAAATTAGCAAAGGGAAAAAAATGATGTAAAAATAAAAATTGAAGAAAATATGAAAAGAAAATACAATTATACATTTCACAACATACCTATAATCACGGATCTGTAACAGTCTTTCACCATTTGTTGACAATCTTGCAGATTTTGACGTTTTTTATTCCAATAATTGTGGTTGCAGACGACCTTGACGCACTCGCACCACCGACTAAGAAAATCCTAGAGGGCGTAGAGGTTTGCTCACTAAAAACCTTCTCATTGGCAGAAGGTAGACCCTAAAAATATGGGATCCGTTTTGAGTAAAGAACTTTTGATAGAGATCAACATTTCAGATGTTCACAATTGCCACTTCTAACAACTAGAAAATATAAAGAAAAAAGATTGTATCTTTTTAAATACAGATTTTTACAAACTGAACATTCGAAAGTAGATAGAGTACGATGTTTCTGTCAATCTTGCGTTGGTTTGAGCCCTATAGCTACATCCATCTCAAAATGAGAAGGAAAACAGTGAACAGTGACGTCATTGTTCGCGCCAAAAATAAAGGGTATTGCGACATAATCTGAGCTCCGGTCAGATCGTGCGCAAAGGCGTAGTCTTATTTATAGACCCTAGTACCTTATTCTCACAGCACTAGATACGAGTGTCGTGCAGTAATGTATGAGAAGTGTTAAAAAAGATATTTCAGTAAAAAAAAAAGTCTACGTGAGCAGTCTATACTCCAATTGAGAATTGAAATGAAAGCCATGATTTGAAGGTGTGTGTTGTATGGTACATGGTTAGTGAGTGTGTATGTTACGTATAGCGAAAGGGAGAGAGAGAGAGAGAGAGAGAGAAATATTAGTACACGTACGTTGCATGCATGGATGTGCGCTATGATTGTGTTCGCTGCAACATGGATTTTAATTGGACCTCGTAACTTCTCGATCGTTGATAATAAGGAATACTCATGAGGAAATCAAATTATTGGAATACACATCTAAGGTAAATATCAATGAATTATATATATTTCTTTCCTTTTTTGAACCATCGTCTTCGCCTCGTAGTAGTAGAAGATGTAATCGTTCGCACATTGATGGCTGGACTTCAGCCTGCATCGGGGCTTGCCTGTGTCGGTGGAGGGATCAACTTAAGAAGAAGGTGTGTACGTGTGCGACCGATTCAAGGCTAGCCGCTGTTGAGTGATTGCACTTTCGCGCGAAGTTTTAAACTTCATCATGAACTTTGTCCCTCGGGCCTGTCTAATTATGAACGTAACTTTGCGACATGAAATATAATTGTTTCAAGGCTCTTACGTACGGAAAGGCGTAGAAGGAAATGGCTACAAACCAGCTGGATATCTCCTATTTGATGGAACCTATGGAGTCGGCAGATGGGTGGATTTTCTTAGTGAAAGTAAATGCTTTCTTTTAATCTTAGTTTTAGTATAAACAAATTAGTAATTAAAAAGTTAGATTTGGGCATTGGCCTCCCTATCATTAGCAAGTTTTCACTGACTAGCGACGCAGCCTTCTACAACGCTGATCTTAGCCGAGGTTTGAGGGGGTCCGCGTAGCGTCCAAACCTACGACAGTATTCAGCCGTATTAGCGTCGGGAGTTGAGCTAGTACGGGGTGGCAAATTCATTTAAATACCCCGTAGTCAGCACTTGCATCGCTGTGCGAAAACTCGCTAATGACCGAGCATGAAGAGTCGAGTGTTGAAAAATTGACGAGATCGATCATCCGATTGGAAGAAATTTAATGGTAGTTGGTACGATTCAGATTAGTGAGAACAGTCTCCAGGCTCACCAGCTTAAAGTCGGCGAGTCTTGCCAGGATATGACTGGTCTAATTCCTTGAAAATATGACACCATTATCAATATTATTATTCGCGATCGCGTAGCTAGCTACCCTAGGCAAAGCCAGGGCCATTACATGAATACACGCGAGTGGGACTGAAATGAAAGTAGATAGGCCTACAGCCCACTAACTATTTTGGCTGTCCGTAAGGACTAAGAAAAAACCCGCTATATTTTATAGAATTTTGTCAGTCTATCCCATTTAATCATGCAACACTTACCTGGTATCACTATCATGTAATTGTAACAATCCCACTCATAAACAACAATGTCTCATCGTGAAAAGATGAAAACAGAAAAGCCACGAGAAGTATGACGTCATCAAGCGCGGGGATTTTAGCCAGTTCACGGTTGCAGTCTGAGCATGAGCAGATAAAGGTCATTGCAGAACAAATTTTGAAATACATGGAGACGAAAATACTGGAAACGTGCTCATGAAAGTTATGTAACATTATTCATTCATGCACATTCAGTGCACTCCATGGTACACAGGTGGAAGTATCCTTTGAAAAGGGGGAACAAAGGATATTTATAAAGCACCTCCACCGCTATAGAAGTGATTATTTTAAAATGTACAAAGTGGGACCTCTTCATGTTTTGAAGATCTGTGGATATTCGGGGTCATTGCAGAGATGTGCTAACCGTGAACTGGTCTATAATAGTGGTTATGAAAGCTCAAAGGGAGAAGCTCTCATCTCCCGGTCCCTGGTATAATAATTTTTTTATAGGCCTACATCGCGTCGTCTTCTTCTTGTTCTTCTTCCAGTTCAAGTGCTGCCAGGGGCGTCGCTAGACCTTTTTCAGTGGGGGGTGTAGAGGCCAACGATTACCGACAAAAGTAGCCACCAATTACCGACAAAATTAAATTTCCAATATCTACAAAGTCAACCCTATAACCTGGGGCCGAAGGCTAAATTGTTTTTCCTATGGACTATCTATAGTACTTGCATATGCGCAAAATGGTCATTTTCCTCGACGACATTAATATACGAATTATTTCTTAAATTTAGTCAGCATCATAGCTATATATTTTAATGCAGGCGCGGAGCTATAGGATCTTATTTTAGGGAGGGGCGGTAGTGAGCAAGAGAATCACTTAAAAGCGCGCTCATAAGGGGGTGTGGGTGATGAGCCTCCCGCGCGAAGCGCGGAAGCTTAGACGTTTCCTTAAATTATTAGGAAAAGAAGACGATTAATTGTACCGTTTTCGACTGGTAATCCTAGGCTGAATGAAGTTTCCCCCCCCCCCTCCCGCGCGAAGCGCGAAAGCTTTGACGTTTCATTAAATTATTATAAAAAAAAGAAGACGATTTGCTGTACCATTCTCGACTGTTTATCCTTTGCTGAATTCAGTATTCCCCCCCGCGCAAAGCGCGGAAGCTTTGACGTTTCATTAAATTATGAGAAAAAGCAGATGATTCGGTGTACTGTTCTCGACTCTTAATCCTAATCTGAATGAAGCTTCCCCCTCCCGCGCGAAGCGCGGAAGTTTTGACGTTTCATTAAATTATTAGAGAAAGAAGACGATTCGTCGTACCGTTTTCGACTCTTAATAAGCCCTATTCATCTGAATTCAGTTTCCCCCTCTCGCGCGAAGCGCGAAAGCTTTGACGTTTCCTCATATCATTAGAGAAAGAACACGATTCGTTGTACCGTTTTCGACTTTAAATAAGCCCTATTAATTTTGTCTGAATTCAGTTTCCCCCGGCTCGCGCGAAGCGCGGAAGCTTTGACTTTTCCTTACATTATGAGAAAAAGCAGACGATTCGGTGTACTGTTCTCGACTCTTAATCCTAATCTGAAGGAATCTTCCCCCTCCCGCGCGAAGCGCGGAAGTTTTGGTTTTACTAAATTATTAGAGAAAGAAGACGATTCGTCGTATCGTTTTCGACTCTTAATAAGCCCTATTCATCTGAATTCAGTTTCCCCCTCTCGCGCGAAGCGCTAAAGCTTTGACGTTTCCTCATATCATTAGAGAAAGAATACGATTCGTTGTACCGTTTTCGACTTTTAATAAACCCTATTAATTTCGTCTGAATTCAGTTTCCCCCTCTCGCGCGAAGCGCGGAATCTCTGACGTTTCCTTAAATTATTAGAGAAAGAACACGATTCGTTGTACCGTTTTCGACTCTAAATGAGCCCTATTAATTTTGTCTGAATTTAGTTTCCCCCTCTCGCGCGAAGCGCGGAAGCTTTGACGTTTCCTTAAATTACTAGAGAAAGAAGACGATTCGTCGTACTGTTCTCGACTTGTCTAAATGAAGTTTTCCCCTTCTGCGCGAAGCTCGAAATTTTTGGCGTTTCATCACAATATAGAGAAAGGAAGACGATTCCTCATACCGTTTTCGAATCTTATTATTATTAAGCCCTATTCATCTGAATTCATTTTCCCCCTCTCGCGCGAAGCGCGAAAGCTTTGACGTTTCCTCAAATTATTAAAGAAAGAACACGATTCGTTGTAACGTTTTCGACTTTTAGTAAGCCCTATTTTGTCTGAATTCAGTTTCCCACTTTCGCGCGAAGCGCAGATGCTTTGACGTTTCATTAAATTATTAGAGAAAGAAGACGATTCGATTGATTTTATTCGACAAGCTTCCAATATACAACAATATACAATAATAACAGATCAAAAATAAGTCAGCTTGAACAGGATAACCCACGAAAGCTCGAGAGCTTATTTCCAGTGGGGTCCCTTACAGACATGTATACAATTAATAAATTAAAATAGTAATATTTACAGACAGATAAGAAAATTAAAAGAACTACTTATTAAAGATAATAATAACAACATTAAACTGATGATAGAAATGATATTAAGTACAAGAAGAAAAAGAAGAAGGAGAAGAAGAAAAAGAGGAGAAGGAAGAAGAGGAAAATAATGATGAATTTGTAGAATTTCTATAACGTACGAAAACATAAGTATATACAACATGAAAAAGTATGAACCGACAGAAGAATAACAATTTCAATCATATAACATGTCATTCACTTCTCTTCTCTGACTGTCAAGTATTAGGTATTCCTTTAATTTCCTCTTAAAATGATCATAGTTTCCTATTTCTTTTACACCATTGGGAAGGGAATTCCAATGTTTTATGGCATTGTAATAAAACGAATTTCCAATACTACCTACTCTTTCTGGTAAGTTAAAGTTGAATCGTCTATTTCTTGTATTATAATCATGTACGTCAGTAACAAGATCGAAGTTGGATCGAATATAATGATTCGCCCTAGTATGATATATTTTATGCACGTGATGCAATGCGAGTTGTTTTGATCTTTGGTCGACTTCAAGAAAACCAGCTTTAGAAAGTTCGCTATAGCCAACATGAGTTCTTGGACCAGAACAGTTGATAAATCTCACCATTTTGTTCTGTATAATCTTCAACTTCTTTTGATCTGACTTGTTTATGTTACTGTACCATGCAGGGTTAGCATAGTCAAATAAACATTGAATAAGAGCAAAACAGAGTGTACGTCTTGCTTTTAAATCCATACAACTTTGATATCTGTACAAAAATTTCAGACGAGAATTTGCTTTTTTTACAACTGATTCTACTAAAGATGAAAATGAAATTGCGCTAGCCAACTCAATGCCTAAATACTTCACAGACTCTTTTCTCTTGATTGCTTGATTATTGTGTGTCACTTTGAATTCAAATGACTTTTTAGAACTACTTTTAGAACAAAATAAAATGCTTTCTGTTTTTCCCAAGTGTAAAGAAAGCTTATTATCAGTCATCCAATCGACACACGTAGACAGCTGTTCACTGAGCTTTTCCTCAATATATTTAGGATCAGGATTTGAATAGAGTAGTACGCTGTCATCTGCGTACAATAATAGTTTGAAGTCTTTTATACAAATACACATATCATTTATATAACTTGAAAATAGAATTGGGCCTAAAATGCTTCCCTGAGGAACACCGCAAGTTATAGGCATTAGTTTGGAACGAATATCATGAATGGCCACTACTTGGTGCCGATTAGATAAGTAGGATCTAAACCAATCTAAACTTGCCTTATCAAAACCCATTAGTTGTAACTTCTTCAATAAGACGCAATGATTAACTGTATCAAAAGCTTTTTGCAGATCAAGGAGCACCATACCAACAAAGCGCCCTTGGGAAGTTTCTCTCCTCAAATAATCAGTCAAATGAATTAGACATGTTTCAGTCGAATAATCATGTCGAAAACCAGATTGAAATTCATAAATTATATCATTTTCTTTGAAGTATCTTTCAATTTGAACACAGACCGATTTTTCTAGAATCTTTGATGCTACGCTTAAAACACTAATAGGTCTATAGTTGCTAACATCAGTTTTATCTTTCTTTTTATAAAGTGGAGTCACTTTTGCTATTTTCATATCCTCTGGAAAAGTACTCGTCAAGATAGATAGGTTCATTAAGTAACTTAGAGGCTTAAATAAAACCTTCGCACCATCTTTTAGAAATTTAGCTGGAATCAAGTCTAACCCAGTACTTTTTGATACATTCAACTTACGTAACTCTTTGAAAACAAATTGTTCACTGATTGGTAATAACTCGAAGCTGTTTTCACGTACACCTTTTCTTTCGTAAAAGTCACGAATACAATCATTGTCTGCGCTGAAAAAGTCTTTGGAAGGGGGGAGTTTGTCTTCATCACAATATAGAGAAAGGAAGACGATTCCTCGTACCGTTTTCGAATCTTATTAAGCCCTATTCATCTGAATTCAGTTTACCCCTCTCGTGCGAAGCGCGAAAGCTTTGATGTTTCCTCAGATTATTAGAGAAAGAACACGATTCGTTGTACCGTTCTCGATTCGTATAAATGAAGTTTCCCCTTCCGCGCGAAGCGCGGAATTTTTGGCGTTTCATCACAATATAAAGAAAGGAAAATGATTCGTCGTACCGTTGTTGACTCTTAAACCTTGTTTGAATTTAGTTTCCCCGAAATTTTTAAACCTCTGATTTCTTTAGCTGATATTATAGGAAAGTGAAACTTCGAGAAAATACAAGTATTGTAGTTGTAGTCACTCTCGAAGTCGTCACAGCGGATAAGAAGTCGCAGTTCGTAGGGAAAAAAACTTGTCGGCCGACCGACAATATACATCTCACCGACTTCAAACTTATGCATTGATGAGGATCGAGCAAGAATACCGACACAGCTGACCCGACACAGCAACATATTTACCTGTGTCTTTCTTGCTATCTCGACGAGACGACTCCACCCAACAACCCCCTTTTCTCTTTTACTCCCACTCCTCCTCTCTCAGACTCTTACCTACCCTTTCTCTCCTCTCTTTCATCCCCCGTTTCTTTTGTTTCACTTTCACTCCTTTTTCTTC